ACGTGTTTTTTTTTTTTTACCGGTACTAATAGATCTGGGTTCATGATATAAACAGATTTGGAAGGCTTTCATTTCAGGTAAATATGCTTTTCCCATTTTAGCAAGCAGAAGAAATGAACCAACTTATCTCGCAAAAAAATCAGTTTGCCTTAATCTTTACTAAGAAGTTATAAATATTTGACAATGCGCTTCCAGAAGTGGTATCAAGAAGTAGAAGAAGAATTTTTTTTCTGGAGAGGTTAAGATCCATGTCAAAAAAATTAGCAGTCATGCTATACAGGAAGTCGACTTATATACGAGTATATACGATAATCTAAAACTTAAAAGAACTTCAGTAGTTAAATAAAAAATAATTTATCAGAAATCAAAGCAAATCTTTAAAAAAAATTATTAACGATTTTTTTTTCACAACCCAAACGTCGACAGAACATTTTATTAAAAAAAAAGTAATTAAATCATTAAAAAAAAATTCTAATTTCATTTTCTGATCCACGGCATAATTTTAAAAATTAAAATTTGAATCTATTTTGATTTCAAGATTTTTTAATGGAGTTCACGAAAGTAGTAAAACCAGCGACGCAAAGGTTACTGGTGAAGAATTAAAAACAGGAATATTTCCCTAAAGATCGAGAACAGAGGAAAAGTAATAAGGAGGAATTGGGAAGATAGCGATTGATATTGTAGATAAATTTTTCAGATTAAAATTGGCGAGCATGAAACCTGAAAAGGAGTTCCACAGGCGAGAAGTACACTTATAGATATGTAAGCTAGACTCTGGAGAGGACAATCGTCTATTTTTTTTTTTAAATGTGAATATTGACTGTTCAAATTTTATTTCGCTAAGATTTTAAAACTTTACCAAGTTGACCGCCAGAAGTCAATTACGAAATCTGGCTTCAAATTCAACTGAGGTAACAGAAAATCTTTCTGAGTCGATTTATAGCTTCAAACAAAGTCTTAAAATTATTTTAACACTAAAAATATCACTGCAAATAAACTCGTTGTTTGCATCTGTACTGGTGAATGATGGCAAGTATAAAACCAAAATTAACAACGTTAACGGATTAATTAATTAAGCATTAATTGATTAATTAATTAAGGTAAAAAATAAAACTAATATGCAACTACATAAACATTTTTTATCAAATAATGAAGCAAAGAAAAAAATTAAAATAAAATTAAATCAATATTCACGAACCTATGTTTCTGTAATTTCTGTGCAAACATCACTCGTTCGCTAAACTTTTAGTTTGAATTATTTATACTATTTATATTCGGATTATGATCCTAATCTTTGTTGTTTTTATCAAAACGTTTCCGCCGCTATGCCATTCTTCATGTGTATATCGATCTAGGTAAAGTACAGGAGAATTCCGAACTGAACACTTTATTCAATCTACGGAAGGTACACTGTTATCATTCCACTGTTCATGTCTAGGGATACCGTCAAGTTCTTATGCTATTTATCACTGTTCTGTTATTGATCGCCCGTTTTCAATGAGTGCAAGTCAACACTGCCTGGCCCAGGGATTAGACTCACAGCCAAATTCACAAACCAATGCTTTTTCCCACGCGGCCATTTTTCGAAAATGTTGTGATAACATCAACAACAACAAAGAGAGTTCCACAGACGAGGAGTGCGAGAAAAGTAACTATTGGAATAAAACTTACTGAAGGGCACTAACATTAGTAATCAATATAATAGTATAGCTCCACACTGGCACGACCAACAACCTCAACTCAACCTGAAATGGAGGAATACATTTTTAAAAAAATACCCCATCCGCAGCGTTCTGCCATTCTTCTTGACAGGAAACCCAACGTTCTTGTTTTCTGATACTCCTGAGAAAGTTGACTAAGATTGGAATTGTTATACATCGAGATGCATCGAGCACCAAAAAATTTAACTTAAAGGTAAGTGCCTCTGCATTTCAACGTTTTATGATATAGAATTAAAATCAGTGAATTGAATTCAGTTTTTCCCAAAAAAGTTTTAACTGGCCCCAACCGGAATTTGAACCCGGTTCTCTGATACCATTCTCTGTGCTATAAACCCTTCATTTAACACATTTTTCACATTTCGTAACGCAGCGGAATGGTGAGGAAAAGACATTGAAAAAAAAAAATAATCCGAAAGTCTGCTGCAGGATTGGAATTGTTTTCTCGGCTGGGACGTTCATCGATCTTTCTACTGCTTTTGAAACTTCTCGCCACGAACGAAATTTCTGAAATCACCGTTGTATTGTTCACCTGTTAACAATTTCTTCTGCAAATCTCAATATGTTTCTAATCAAACCCAACACCCCCACCCCACCCGCCATATAAAACTCCATCAATAAAACTATAGTATGAAGACGTTCCTTCGATATAAAAAGGAACAAAACAGGTAATGTAAGAGTTTTAAATTTCTTCTTTTTTAATGTTATTATTGTAGGGGAAAAAAAGTATGACAAAATGGAAAAAAATTTCATCTGATGCGTTTCGTCATTTAGGACTCCATCGAACTAAGCTTATGTTTACTTTGATGCTACTACGCATGCGCACGAAGGGGAGACGTGTTTATTTTTTATGCGTCTCGAGTATATAATCTAGCCGATTTCATTTAGATTCTTTTTCTTTACGTTTTCATCAATCCTGTTGTTAAATATCCCACACTGTGGTAACGGAAGATCTGAAAAGAGTGGTGAAACGTTGTAAGAGCCTGAAAGCAAATTTACTATGGGTGGTCTAGCGATTAAAGCACTTTCTATACACTTTCGTCTTAGTGAATTGTTTTCTCTTTTAATTAAAGTAGCATTTTTAAATCAAAATTGTGGTCAGTCTCGTTAGTCAACAACTGATGCATTTAACGTGTTGTTTTGTAAAAGATCTCTTTTGTGTTCATATAATCATTTATTTAAATTTCTTGGGGTTTCACCTTTTTGCAATTATCACAGTAAATTACTTCATCAAGTTTTAACTTATTTTGTTTTGTATTAAGTCTTTTTTTATTGTTTTAGACGTAGTTGTGGTAAATTCAAGTTTAATTTAGATAAATTCTTTTCAGTTGTAGTTGTGATAGAGTTAACGAATAAAAAAATTATATTTTTCTATCCACTAAGTTTATCAGGAAGGGCCGCCTTTCTATTTTGAAATATTTTATGAGCCTTTTTTAGGCATTGTATATTAAATAGGATACCGAAGAAGATTGAATGTGTTTTCAATGTATTTCTCCTCTTCGTGTTAATATTGTGGGCTTGAAATTCTGATTGCTCTTAAGTAGAATCCTATGATTATTCCAGATTTTATTTTGCTGTTATGATGAGAATAGAAATTTATGAGATCATTTTTTATTAGTTCATTTTCGGTGGAACCTAAATTTTAAAGTATTTTTAACGCGGTGTTAATCTAGGAAAGGTAAATTTATCATTTTTTTTTTTTTACATTTTTTTTCATTTCATATGTAAGTTCTATTGTATGTTTGTCTTTGTTTATTTTATCTACAATGTTATTCAATTAACTACACTTATTCTAATTAATAAATAAAAAGTGAATTATTTCAGTTCAAAATTCAATTAATAACTATGTGTTTGTTTATGAACTGATTTATCTAGTTTATCCGACTCCAATGTAAGCGTTCATGATTAAATAATATAAAAAGGACTCGTGTTTCATACTATTAAAAGATTACATAAACCTAAAACTATTAAATCACCCGACCTCCATTTGTTTTACACGGAACAAAATGCCAGCGTGATAACCTTTTTTTGTCTCTATTTCTCTTGTAACTTTTTTTTAACTTAGTGGAAATGGAAAAACTGATTTCGTACCAATCCCACTACAGCAAAAAGAAAAAAATATCTGAGGCAAGAAAATATCAACTAAGTACTTGACACGCAAGCTATTAAAAAAAGCAAAAAACAAAGATCTATGTGACACTGACGAGTCGCGTCAAATAAGGGGCGAAAGTTCATGTTAAGAATCTCAAAAAGTTAAGGCACATTCGCACTAGCTCGTTGATTGGTTGTCACATTAAAAATTCGTGTTTGATTGGCTGATTTGTTTGACTGTAACAATGACACAGGTATGCAGACATTGCTTAGCTTGGAGAAAAGTGATTTTTTTTTTATTTGAGTGCATATACACTAGACAGAAGAAATAGAAGAAACACAAAAAATAAAAAAAGAATACTGATGGCAATGTGCCCCCAACCGGTGATAGATATATTTAAATAAATAAAAAACTGCATCCAAGCGAAAAATAAGCTGACTCAATTAACTATATTACTCGAGTGTGTAGTAAAACGGTTGGAAGGGACTTCAAAATTAAAAAATACCTGCCACTAATAGGAATATTTGTAATGGACCAATGGTTAGCGCGTTGCACTCACGCTATTGCTGGCGAGTACATTTTTTTATTGGTATTCAAACGTAAAGAGGCTTAAGTTGGTTCAGCTGAACAAAATATCTAACGATCAGACTAAAGGGAAAGAAGAATTGGTTAGTCAATAATCTTTATGGACATCTTCTATTGACGTGTCCCTTCAGGACATTGGACGATCATGACTCGAGAATTTCCTATCCTTTGTAGCTCTTATTAAAGATGGCAGAAGACTGAAAATGCTATTAGACTGTTTACAACATCATAGTATGCGTTTATTGGGGCAAATTGAGGCGGTGTAATGGTTAGCAAGTTTGTCTCGCTAGAACATTTACGACTGAATAGTGAGTTCGATCCTCACTGGGTTCCCCCCATGCTTTTGGCCTTGTGCCACATCTAAGCTTAGAAAATTACTAGTAATGTTTATTGTACCTGGGTTGGATACATAATCGTCCCCCAAAGGACTGCAATTATGTTTCCTCATTCCGTAATATATAAAGCTCATAATTTATGTGGGCGTAGAGGGGGGTGCGTACGAAACGTTGAAAATTAAAAACATATACAGTAAGTTTTTATGCCTCTCTCTCTCTCTCTCTCTCTCTCTCTCTCTCTCTCTCTCTCTCTCTCTCTCTGTGTGTGTGTTTGCGACCACATCACGTTGAAGCATCGGTTCGCGTACGATCACCGAAGTTAAGCAAAGATCGAGCCTGGCCAGTACCTAGATGAGTGACCGCTTGAGAATACCAGGTGCAGTAAGCTTGGATGTGCGCGTGGTGTAATGAATGACGGCTCGGAACTGTTAATCGGAGAGGCAACTTCCAATTCCTATGGGGTTCGTTATATTCACTTACGTCTGGGAGAAAGGTATGAATCCATCTATTCTCCCCCTGCTATGGGTTAATTAGTAAGAATTGTAAACTATTATTATCTAAAAAAATCTTACTATCTTAAAAATATCTTCTGGTTTTAAATAACTTGCAAAGGGTTGATAAACCGTCAAATACGAATCACTCGCTCAGTCTCTCCTTATGGGTGCTAAGCGAACGTCAAACTTTGACATCAGATAGATGCGATTTTGCCATTTATATTGGCCCATAGGATCTCTGTGCTCTGGACGTGCGGATATACTTCTTCTATATGCCATGTCTGTTCAGAATGTGGGCGATCATGGCCCTCCACAATTTCTTGTACTTTGGAGCTCTTAGTAAAGTTTGTCTTTTCGCTATCTTTCCTAATCCCCGTTCTGTCAATCATTTACCCAAGTTCGTTATGTAGCTTATGGCCTGCTTTCCTTTGTCACCTCTTACCTTCAATATGTCCTGTGGGTGTCATTTTTTCTTTGCCCTCTTTCCTCATTATGTGCGCTAAAAATTTCAACTGTCTCGTTCTGGTGCTAAGTATACGTGACCTTTTTGTTTCCATTTTCTCTAAAACTTCGTCGTTGCTCATATGTTCGGTCTATGTTGTCTTCAACATCTTTCTGTAGAACCACATTTCTGTTGCTTCGCTTCTCCTTCATTTGGGATAAGATTGTCCAGCATCCACTGTCATATAGGAGGAACGATATATACACTACTGTGATCTTCTTTCTTTGTTTCTAACGAGATGTTCCTGTTCAAGGTAAAAAGAATATCTTTTAAACGCGTAGATTACACGCAATCCTCTCTTCATGGGATATACTTTTTCATACCTTTAGTTTTTCCATTCATTCCAGTCCGTTCAAATCTATCTATGTGTCTCATTCTCTACATATCTGTCTATCCCTCTTAATCTATTGATGTCTCAGACAGACACAGACAGACAGATAGGAATAGACTGTCTGTCTATCTATCTATCGATCTATCTCATTCTGTTCATACATGTTTATCTAAATTTATTCATGCCTATCTCCTCAGTCTGTGCATAGCTGTCTGTCTTTCTATCTGTCTCAATCAGTTCATATCCATCTATCTCATTCTATTCATACATGTCTGTTCATACCTGTCTGTATATCTATCTATCTATCTCAGCCTACTCTTATCTATCTATTTATCTATCTATTCCAGTCGGTCATATCTATCGGTCTCTCTGCATTTATATGTATGTCAATATATGTTTATCTATCTATCTATCTATCTATGTCTCTTCATATCTGTCTGTCTATCTATCTAAGTCTAACCCATAAATATAGCATACCTTAAAATATATATTTTATCATATGAATAGATATGGACAAAGTGCTCAATGTCAGGGATAAAGCGTGTGTAAATATAAAAATAAGCAGTGACAGTCTGCTTCATGCTTGAAATGGCTTGACGATTGCGTTCAAGCATGAAACAGACTGTCGCCTCTAGGTGTTCAATATCCACTTACATTATATATATATATATATGTGTGTGTGTGTGTATGTATGTATGTATGTGTGTGTGGAGAGAGAGAGAGAGATTAATTTCTTAATTTCTGTTTTTTTTATTGTTTTCTCTCCTTAATAATGTTTCTCTTATTCTTTCACACTCAGTAACTCCTTGCGTCTTAATAGCATTATTGCCTTGTTTGAGGTGAAATAATAAAAAGAAATACCTGAGTAAATAGAAGGATATACATTGATGTTTACATTGTAAATAATGCATAGATAGATAGATAGATAGATAGATAGATAGATAGATAGATAGATAAGACTGAAAGGCATGAACAGATTAAGATAGATAGACAGACATGTATGAACAGAATGAGATAGATAGATTGAAAGAGATAGAGAGGTAGATAGATAAATAGGAAAAACTGAAGAGATAGGTTGGTATATATGTAGGCAGAAAGATATGCATACATTAGTATGAAAAGATGTCTCTCGCTCTATATCCGTTGAGCTAACTCATTATTTTAATATCTAATGTTCTAAATAATATCAAAAACCTTCTTTGTCTTTATAAATTATTAAATCTAACAAACTACATTTTTCCACGCATATACATTTCCACACTTATACATGCTTGAAACCGTTTGATGTATGCAAAGATTTTTTTTAAAATGACACCCGAAAGAAAATTTGTCAATTCATCAAAACGAAATGGTAAAAAAATAGAGAAATAATTCTTCATACTACTAAGATAAATCCTTTTGACTTCGCCGCATTTTGTTCCACCGAAGCAATACATCTTAAGTTATTTTTAGGGAAAAAAATATCTAAATTAAAAAAATTCAGATGACATTGTTTTATATTTGCGCCTGACTAAAAAGTCTGTTTCACTTCTGTTTATTGGGTTCGCTGATGAAATACAGTAGCGTTCACCGGCTTTCTTATTTTTTAAACGAAAGAATTGATTTAAATTTCCTATGGCGGGTTAGGTTTTCAGATTAGGTATTTTTTTTTTTATTCGAGCACGATATTAATTTTTTTTTCATTGTTCTTTAGGAAATTTAATTCAATTGTTAGGGTTAAGGTTAGCAAATGTAATTCAATTTCCGATAAAAAAAAATTAAGTTAACGAAAATTCAATTGTTTTGATAAAATCGAAAAAAATATAATGCTTGGGTATCTCCCGCTTCTTAAACAGAAACAGCAGTATTGATTTTTGCCTGCTTAAGGGTTGATAATCCGTAACTGATTTCCTAAGCGTACCTGGCAAACAGTAGTCGCAAAAAAAAATTATTTAGCAAGTGCCAGATAAATCTACGCAAACTTGGTACCTACTGTTTTTCTAACTTGTCCAGTAAACGGTAATCAAACCCAAAAATAGTATTTATTCTTTCTTTTTTTTTAATTTTCATACAAGCCCAAGAACTTTCAAAAGGTAATAGGTTTGGAAGTAGGTTGTTGTATGAGCGGTAAAATGTGTTTTAATGGTTTGTTTTTTACCGTTTATCGACCTTTTGCAGGTTATTTAAAGCCAGAACGTCTTTTACATTGTAAGAACTTTTTGAATACAATAATGATTTTACTGATACAAATGCTATTAATTACCATACAACTTGAATTGATAGAATACCATAGACCGAAGATAAAAGCAAAAGAAAAAAGATTTCTTATACTTACAATAAGAAATAGTTAAAATTTCTTGGACATATAATGAGGAAAGAGGGTCGTGTTCTTTGAGCTTTATACTTTCAGTTCATGGACAATCATGGCTCTCCACATTTTACTATTTCTTGTAGCTCTTAATAAATATTATCTTTTTCGCTATCTCTTATAATGAGGTTTGTGTGCATAGGTGGTGTAGAGCAGGGGTATAGAGGGACGCTGAAGAATCAAAGGTGGTTTAGAACAATAAAAGACAGGAAGTTGTGGAGAGCCATAACACAAGTAGGTTGTTGTATGAGCGGTAAGAGTAAAAAGTAAGTTCCCATTGTTGTTTTTCTTAATGCTTATCAACCTTTTGTAGGTTATTTAAAGACAGATAATCTTCACAGATTGTAAGAACTTTTTGAAGACAATCATTTTACTGATACAAGTGTAATGGCAAAAGTACGCAGGTGTAGTCTTTAAGAATCTTACACTTGCGTACTTTTTTCATTACAATTTAATTCAAGTAAGAATACAAAGTTCGCGTATAGTGTCCTTTTATAGTCCCAGTAAACAGAAATAGCTCTCTCAAAGAGGAGAGTAACAAAACAAGGTGAAAACCACTCTTGGTTATTCATAATAACACCTACTACTAATTAACCCATAGCTGGTGAAGAAGTGGATTCATACGATTCATGGGTCCTTGTGCGCAAGCAAATAACGAGCTAACCGGAAGTGGAACGTAGCGTTTTAACCTCGGAATTGAAAATCGGAGCGCTAAGAGGCGCAGTTTATGAGGATATATGCGAAAGATAACGGTTAGCCTAGGACTTGGAGACGTTGAGAAAGAATCCTCTTGGAACTCGGTTCGTAAGAGAAAAGCTGTTCAAGTCGAACTTCCTTCTTCGTAATGGAACTGAAGGGAAATTAAATGGCTCGACCAGTGT